CAAGTGTTCACTCATCTGAGGAATTCAAATAACAGGACAAATGTTTTGCATCCTCAAATTCAGAGAGCAGTATTTAGAACAACAGGCAACTTAGGAACCCAGAAACAAAATAAACATAAAAATATCAAGTGATTATTTCTGAAGATGCAGCTCAGAATTCTTCATTAGTTTAAAACTTCTTGTAAGAAACTTGGACATCATCTCATACTAAAAAACACTAATTTCTCTGTTAAAACAGATTTGCTTATTTCTCCTGTATCTGCAGTATGGTACAAAGCAGCAGCATCTCTTGAGACTGTAATAATGTAAAAAAACCCTATTATTGAGTAACTTGAATGCTTCTATTTTGATATATACTTTTAAGGGGTTTAACCTTTCTCTGAGTAGGAGTGTTTATAAAATGTCATTCAGTGAGTCATACCACACTTCTGCTTGCTCCTAAAGTTTCAACAGATAAGCTCTGAAATGAAGTGCAAATAGGAGCACAAGATACATTAACTTGGACCATATAAGCTCTCTTTTGACTGTATATTTCCAAACTTTGTAACATAACAGAAATGTATATGTTCACTACACACAGATATCCACAGATGAACAGTATTTCTCATTTGCCATCTCTTAAGAAGTGATGATTAGCTGATCTTGCCTCATTCTCCTCCACATATATAAAACCAGATGCAGAAGGAGAAATGCAACTTTCTGAGGGTACTTTTGAAAGTTTCTGTGGCAGCTTTGAACGTTGCTGGTAGGACTAATTTACACTCTGAGAGCGTCCCTTGAGGATACATAAAACCTATGATCTGCAAGTACAAAAGTATTTTAAATCATGTACCAAGTCCTGCAGAGCTTGCAAATCTAAAACAATCTTATAAATGAAAGTACTATCATGCATACTGAAAGTTTTCTATGAGAGGAAAAATTGTGAATTGATATCATGAAATATATATATATGATATACCATGATATACAGCACTAAAGGGAATTATAATTTTTGGCATTAGTTAGAATACTTTCAAGGTTTCAAACCAAGATCTGAGTCAGAAAATAAATATTTTTACACATACAGCTTCAGCCTTTATTTCTAACTTTAGCTCACGGCGTCCTCATTTTGGAACCTCCCCTGATGCAAAATTTTACACACCTCACATGCTGATTTGTACTCTAGTTTTAGATAGGTATTTTAATACAGTCAGCAAAACCTACTGGCTCCATGACCCAACTGTGATGCCAAATATATGTCTTCATTAGAATTTATTCCAAAGTTGAACATCATGGAGGATGTCAGCTGAATTTTGCAGACAAGAGACCAATAAAGGGATACAGCTTGAAAAGTTGGCTACACTCCTTAATGATCTTTGTGATAACTGAATTTTTTATCATTTTATTCAAAGCAACCCAGTTGCCAAATTTCTGATAGTTCCTCCCACACAATGAAACCGAGAAGGCAGAAAAATAAGTGTAGAATTGCCAAAAAAGGCACAGTTACTTTTCTGATTTTTTTCAGCTCATACCAGATTCTAAATTAAAAAGAAACTGCAAAATATGTTTTGACTTTTAAAATCCTAAATAAAAGTATGTAGAAGATAAATTTTTAGTCCTTCTGATTAGACTTTGAATATTTGCAATTACTCTTGTTTATAAAAAAGTATTTCCCCTAATCCTTGTTAGCTGTCATACAACTACTTTCTGTTTGAGAGATAATTTGATTTATCTGAGCATTTATAATGCATCATATTCTAACAGGCTGAAAAACTATTTTTAAGTGAGGAGATAACATAACACAGAAGTTGCATTGACCCCACCTACACACCTACACCTGTTCTACTGTCAGTATCCCCTGATGCCCATATTTAAAAGACTTGCAAGCCTGTCCTTTATAATCTTCCTATCTACTAGAAAAAGCTGTTGCTCTGCTTTCCTTACTGTTTCTGACATGATTTCTTTACTGTGGCTCTTGCTTGAACTGACTTGTTCTACCTGACAAAAATCACTGAGTAGCAGACTGGTTCTTCTAAAGGGTAAAGCAACTTTTTTTTCCTCAAAATGTTCTTAATTTTATGCCACCTAAAAGAAGGGTTTAAAATGATAGTTTTGTGTCTAGTCTTGAAAAAGACAAATGTGATTAATCCTTCTGTGCTCCCACTTTTTAATGGAGTCAATTCAAAAGGAGCATTGCAGACTGCTGCCATATATTTTCACAGAGCTTTGTTCTGATCAAAATTTTTACTTGGGACTTGAAAGGGAAAACAGATATATTACAACTTTAAAACTATCTTGTTGCTAATGTAGATACTTGAGGCTTCCAGAGTAGAGACCTGGTTGAATGTGATGCTCTGAAAGAACAACAGTCTGGGAAAGCAGATGTGTTACTACTGTTGAGAACAGGGCTGTCAATGGACTTTTCAGATTGCAAAATAGTGCCATATTTAATTCAGAGTAGCCTCACTGCTTCCAGCAGAACTAGATGAACACAAATATGCCATGACGGGATCCTCACTCAGACAAAGCTTTGAGGCACATATGCTTAGATCTATAGCAATCTCTACCTCCAGCTAAAGGCTTTCCAACATAGATAAGCTGGTACATCAGTAGATATACTAGAATAATTAACTTTTTATATAGCAAAATCTTAACGTGACTAAGTAAAGCAAAGTAGAAATGACAAATTTTATTCAGAGCTCTCCTTTTGACTATAGTGTGTATTTACTGCTGCTTTATTGGTCCCAGGCTTATTTTATTTGACTCAGTGACTTTCTGAATGGTGATAAACCCTGCTCAGACTCCGCTGGTCCTAAGCTGTGTGCTTGATAGTCCTGTTTCTCCTACATGAGGTCAGTACAGCTAACAAAGATTTTTCATCTCATAGGCATAAGGGGAAACAGAGGGACTTAAAAGTTCAGTGCCCTGTGATGTTTCATATGGAGGTCATTGACAAAAATATTTTATCAGCCCATTTTCTTTTAAGAGCACAACTGCACAGGACACATGGCAGTGCCTAGCCTTGCAGAAAGCACCCACTGACACAATTTATTTTTTGTGGGCCTAGCAAACTGGCAGAGCTGCTCCTGTAGAACTCCACCCCACAACTAACCTAACCCTTTTCTATCCATACTCAATCCTTCCAGCATCTATGGCAGCATAATGCTCTAATGAGACCCTCTCTAGGAAGAGCCACTAAAGCAGATGCATTGTCTACAATGCACTCATTTCCTATAGTGCATTTGACCTCCATAAAGTACTCACAGAGGAACAAAGTCTGCCACCCAGCTCAGCTAGATAATTAATCTTTTAAAAATAATCTTCAAAAAACTTCAGGTTTTGTTCATTTCTGTTTGGATCCATGTGACAGGTAGTTTTACCCAGAAAACATAAGATCTAACTTTGATAATGTAAGTATAACTAAACAGATGGTTATTAAGTGATTCACGAAGATCTAAAATAAAAGATGGAAAAATTAAATATACCACATGGCATTCTGCAGCCTGTGAAGAAGGAAGAACTGTAGACTTTTGTCCCAAATCCTTTGAAGACATCTTTGAAGTGTCTGGAGAAATACTAGGTGGATGTTCTTGGATTTCAGGCTCTGCTTTATTGTCAGGGGAGGAAGCTATCTGAATGGAAAGAGATGCTGTGTGTATCTCAGGCATGGGGTTACAGGCAGGTGAGACAGGCCTTTGTGGAAATACTGGCTCTTCAACAGGCTCGAGCTGTTGCTGTGAATTACAATGAATGCTACTTGCTGGGTCACGTGTCCGGGTTAATTTCAGGGTAGATACCTTACGTTTTTGAGACTGTTGCCTCTGGCCTTGATGGAAAGTAGTACTTATACCAGCTACTGGGTTTGTGCCTGCACTGGAGTTTGAGGTCAGTGGTTTAATGATTTTTTGTGCATAGGACACACTTGTGTTAGATATTTGAAATGACATTGTCTCCTGAACAGACTTCTCATTAGTGTAATAGGCAGTATCTGTGGGATGGTATTCAGCTGGACCAGCTGTTATTGCCTGGAGATTATTTTCATTCTTGTGATTAGTTACTCTTGCTTTTCTAGGGGGTGGCAGAGGTGCCTTAGTTGCCAAAAGCATCCACACACAGCAAAATAACATTGAAGAAGAAACAGAAAGAAAGTAAATGTTAGCAGGAGATACAACGCAGTTTGACTTTTATCTTTAAATAAAGGAACTGGCAACTTAAGGGCCTTCATCTCAACATTGCTCAATTCAGTGGACAATAAAATGGCTGGATTCCCACAACCTTTTCCTGTGCAGTGCTGTACAGCTTCTGTTTAGAAAGTCAGATGTTCCATTTGTTCAGAGTAAACTGGGATCAGAAGGGAGCCCACAATCATCTATTTTCTTTTAAAAAATAATTCTTACACTGCATAAGAGTTATTACTGTGAATTTGTTCAGGTAGGTAAGTACTCCATGATATTAGATCGCAAGCTATTATTCACAAGTAAGATACATATATAAAACACACAGAGCCTCTTAAACCTTTGAATTAAAGTAGTAACAGAGACAGTATTAAAATTGGTAAGTTGATATTTTTTGGACAGATAAATATGTTTCCAAGTCTGGTTTTTACTTAAGCATGCTCCAATTACATTGTTCTGCAAAACAGGTAGAAGCATTTTCTACCTTATAATTAATAAACCCTTATTCTCAGATATTTTGATGACTGGTGCATTTTTCCAAGTGTAAACTATTAATAAATACTCTTTGAAGTCTGGGAATACTCCTAGAAAGCTTTTACTTGTGTATGACCTACTTTTATTTAGATGTTTGTCTTGCTCATTGAAAGCAATTTCTGGTAATTAACCTAGAGGCATACAGCCTGCGTGGAGAATGCTTTATTTATGCAGTAAACCAGTTGGTAATGACCCATATCTGGAAGACTTCAGGACAATGTTCCATAGAGGTATCCCATCTATATTTGCTGTCCCCCCAGAACACCCCCCACACAAATGGTATAGCATGACACTCAGTGTGTTCAGTTTTACCTGAGTTGGTGATTTTTTATCCTGTAGATTTGGCCGCACACTCCTAAAACCTTTTGCTGAAAGAGATGAACTGCTAGCGTCTCCATTCAGTGTCTCTCTACTTCCATTATTGTAAGATCTCCAAGCTTTTGTAAAGAAAAAAGAATCAAACCATTTCTTGGTGTGTGATTAGTAGATGTCTATATTGCTCTCAATACAGCAACTCAGCTACTAAACAAACTGTGGAAAACTTTAGCTACTACACAACTGACACGGCTGCTGTTGTTACCATGGAAGTTAAAAGAACACAGAAAAGCTGCCTCTCTACAAAATATTGGTCTTTAAAATTTAGAAAATTCAAGCACTGAAAATTCTGCCGGTAATGGCAGTTTGAGATCTCCCCACAACTTTCATAGGACTATAGATTTTAACCTTGGGAGTACTTTTGGGATACTGGTGCTTCAGCCCCTGTACAAAGCAGGCTGAAATACTTTCACAGATTAGGTTCTCAAACTTCACAGCTGTGTTGGATTTTGAAAAATATCCCAGCTCATATAAACTTAGTTGGTCATGGCAGTTTCACAAAATTTCACCACAATACCCAATTAATTGTTCCACTAATGTATCTTATTGCCAAATCCAAATGACACCTCAATTTTCCAGCCAACCAACCAACCAACCAGGTTTTTTTCTCTATTCTCAGACCTGCGATGCCCTCAAGACGTCGTCCAAACATAGAGGGAGATGCTGAACACAAAATACTGTAAGAAGCTGGGAAAATTAACACATTATGTGAGCAGGCTGCTAAATGAGGTGGGCAGAACTTGCAATCCTGAGTAAGACACTAAAAAGGAAATAGCAAGTACCACTGAATGGTGTCACAGTGATAAAGCTAAAGGTGGCAAATTAGCAGTCTGTTTTCTCCCACACAATTCATTTTCCTGACAACATATTCTGTGTTATCGGAAATAACTGCTTTCAAATGAGACCTGAATTTGGAGTCTTAACCACTAGCAATTATGATTACAGTTTCAGCAGCGCTTTCCTTAAAGAATGAGGAAGTATAGAGTAATGAAATCAAATAAATAGAAGATTGTTGTAACTGGTATTGCACTGATGCATAAATAACACAGTGTTTTATTTACCTGAATCTGGAGACTGAGAATCAGATCCTGAAAAAGAAATATCCAATACTAATTTGTGCTAGAAATAAATTAATTTTGCAAAACCATACAGGGGTATTGATAAGAAGCAGTTCTGCCTGTCTACTGAATATTCTGTGTTTTTATTGTTTTGAATATTTTTAGGAAAACATGCTTGATAAATGATTTTTTAAAAGTTAATCTGGCTTCTGAAAATCATTTTACAACAACATTCAGATTCTTTTCCTTAGAGAAGTGCTTTAAAATCAAATTTCAATATAAAAAGTTTGTAATAAACAAAACTTCTTTTTCATGCTATATTATCTTGAATAAAAAACAAGTAGCGTGAGACACAAAATATGTATCAAAGGAAAAATTAATTTATAAATAACTGATTTTTCCTCAGTCTTCCTATTTTTTTTTTCATTAATGGCTACTAAGCATTGACAGAGAGAAATTAAGACCACTTTTTAAAGAGCACTGTAGAAGTAATAGATCTGTCAGAGGAACAGAAAATAGGGTTACCCTTCTCCTCCTTTCAAAGTAATATGGCAGGAATACATAACACTATAAAAAAAGCCATTTAGAAGTAGTCTCTCGCTGGTTAGTGGTTATACCTGAGGCCAATAGGTTTGGAGAACTCTGAACTCTCTTCACAGCTGTTAATGTGACAGACATTGCAGCACGTTTGCGAGCACACCCACCGCTATCTGGAAGCACAAAACAATACAGACAGCAGCCCCAGACAAAGGGAGCAAGCACATGCAACAAATCACAGTGTGAGATATGCCAAACATATATGAAAATAAGCATGCAGTTAGGGAACTGCTGCAGCAATGTGTGTATTTGCAAGTTTGGCAGATTAGCAGAATACATAAAATTTCACAAGCTTTAAACAACAATAAACCTCACAGAAAATAAGCAAAGAAAGTAATATTTAATACTTAATCCACTAGGGAAATATACACATTCTGTTACCTGAAAGACTGCTTAATTACAGCTAATTAGTAAAAACAAAGTAATGAAGATAAAGGATTAAGCATTCCAGAGTAATATTAATCAATAATCTGCACTGTAAAATAATTTCATTGTATGCATTAGGAAGACATCATTCAAAAACTAAGCTTGTTTGATAAGCTGACAAAGTACTTTTGTTAAGTCTTCTGGATCCTTTATTTTCAAGAAACAAAATTACTAGGAAAGGTATATTTTTTTCTCATTTTGGTGGAACATCCTTGTTCTCCCTTTGCCCCTTTTTTATCTAATGGAAGATAAAAAAAATATACGTCTGGAACTGAATAACATTGTGAGGGAATGACTAGAAATTTAAAATAATTTCAAACAATGAGGAATGAAAAAAACCCCTTTCTTCTGGATCTTGCACGTCTTTTTTTCCTTACTCTGCTCCTCTCTCACTGGAGCTGTCATCGCATTTTAGAAATACGATTATTATCATATCGTGTCGTATTATCTTCTTATTATAAGAAGACATCTTTCCCACAACTTAGCATTTTAGCAACTCTATCATAGTTGTACAAGCAGGTTAATAAATATTACTCTATTTATATATTACATTTAGCTAGATTTTTTTTTGCTCTTCACTATAATAATTTTAATTTTCATATTTGATATTACTGAAATTTCATATAATACAAGTATTATAAAGGCCTTTTTTATTTCTGTGACCTATGACACGAAAGTTTATTAAATTATGCTTAAAGAAGACCTGCAACCTATTTCCTATGATAACATGAGCCACAGAGTCATCTTTAGCCCACATCTGCAAAAGAAGCAAGCTCCTGATATTCCTTTGCTCATTCCAATATTCCCCTGAAATAGCAGAGCCCTCTGGCCACCAGTCCTGCAGGATACACATTAAGTAGTTGTTAACACTGGCAAACATCAGAGCCACTGCCTCAGGTATAAGCAGTACCAAAGACCCATTGCCAGCTCCAAAGATCGAGGCAAAAGGTCAAATGATTTCAGTCAGCAGTAGTTGAACGCAATACACTGCCTGCCATCAATTACTAGCCTTGTACAAGTGAAACAAAGTCAATGGCTATCAAATCTTGCCCATTTGTTTTGGTTTGCTTACATAAATATAGAATGGCAACAGTAATTAAATTCACATTTTCCATTCTTGCATTCCCTTTCCCCCACCATCTACATATACTAGAGGTAATTCCAAGGAGATTTGATGATGTGTTGATACTGAAGCTCTGTTCTAACCTGAATATTGGTAGACTTTGACAGCATACTGTATTTAATACAAGCTAACAAGCAAACAATTTTGTTATACTGTCACATTTTTTATTAAAACAAAGTGATACTTTTTTGTAGTTTTTTAAGAGCTACCTTCCTGAATTTCACGATAGAGAAACTGAAGTGGGAAGAAAGGAGCACAACAAGAAAGGAGCACAATGCATATTTAATTACTGTAACTTCAGGAAATTCTGCTTCAATTTAATTTTTAATGTAACTGAAATGAGTCAGAGTTTTATACTGATTGGATCCATAATCTAGCAAAGTGTTTGAAGTGGTTTCATACAAGTTAAATAAAACAGATGTTGTAACTTACTCTATAGATAGATGCATACAATATTTACCCTTATATGTAGAAGCCTATATGCAAGTCTGTACCTCCATTAATTATCAGTAGCTGTACAAAATAATGAGAGCCAGTTAGTACTCAATTTAGACATAACCGTACATTGATACCAGATTGAGTTGTGCAAAATTTCTAATAGAATATGAATGTGTGTGGCCAAGCACATTTTTATGCATGATGGACTTCACCTTCCTATCTTTGTTCAGGTCAGGCTCCTGTTAAGTCAAGGACATTGTATCAGAGCAAGAATCAGAAGAACCTGCATGCTGCCTCAAAAGAAGCAGTTTACAAACTGCTTCCCTTATCTGCATGGCCTTATACATTTAACTTCAAGAGGCTTATTCAAGCCTGTATTCCTTTTTCATAGTACATGAAATTGCCAGTAAATACTAGCTATATTCACCCAGATTCTTGGAAGTCCAAATAACACCAAAAAGCCCTACGTCTGGGGTACAGAGTGTTAAGAAACAGTACCGGAGACTGATCTTCTGCTCATTTCACTTGAAAACTTTAAGCAATTAATAATGCACAGCTGTTACTTAAGGAAAATATGAGGGTGAGGCAATCTATATAAAATGTATGCATACATAAAAAAATATGTGGGCAAATATGTATACACATATTCACAATTCTTCTAACCTGAAAAATTGTTCAGGTATGAGCCCCATCTTACTAAGTACTGCTTTAATATAGAAGCAAAGGAAACTTGAACCAGCTAATGTCTGCAAGCAATACTAGAACATGAAGTTGGGCAATAACTCACAATCAAAACAGCTGCCTAAAATGTAATTCCATCTTCTTTTTCTCTCGCTCCCTAAATTCTGTTTCTTTCCACATTTAACCATTTTCCACTGAATTCATAATTCCAGCAACTGCTCCCACTACAGACAGCATCACCCTAAGTGAGCTGTATCTCCATTTGACAAGTAGTCTATTCGTTGGGTCCTGCTCCAAAGTAGGACGGAGCCAATTCAAAACATCATTTTCATTTAAGAACAAGCGGTGGGTTTCTTGAAAAGACTGTTTCAGAGAGTCAGTAAAAACAGTGGCATAAACAAAGTTGGCAAAAATGAAAGGATGGTGACCTTGTGTGAAGAGGTGAAAGAGGGGACCTGGGGCAGGAAGTTTTTAATAAGCTCTTACAGCTCAAAGAAAAGAAAAATGGCATCCAAACATAATGTTTACTGATTATTATTCTATTCACTGTACTTGCAAATGGTATCATCTTTCCCATTTTCTGCACAGCGTATTCAAGTTTAGAAGTCTTTAGACCAGCACTTCTTACTCCCTATTTGCATTTTGACCTGAGGCAAATATATAGCACTGAATCCAAAAGTCCAAGATAGACAACGCTGCTGCCTCTCTGTGTCCCCAGGTCCAACCAGCAGGGAGACTGGAGATGTGTTCCCAGTAGATCTCATGTATACACTACGTACATACATGGCTGGACACACAGCTCCGAGCACTCACACTAACACAGATGGCACAATGGCCTCATCCCCCTCCCTTCTCTGGCTGAGCAGGATGAAGGTCCACTAGGCAGAATAGCACACATATACAGGGTGGATCCTTCCAGCAGTGGGGCTCAGACACTGAGTCTGCCACTCATTCCATGCCTGCACCACAGGGCACAGACTCTCCTAGGACAGCCCTGAGAGGGCCCTGGACAAGGGAGGCCCTCTCTTCCCTGGGTTTCCTTATTTTGTGTTCCTGCCTGCCCTTGTGTCCCTGTGCTTCTCTAGGCTTGTGGAAATAGGCCTTTGATGGCTCCTATGAGGGGACTGGGAGTAGCCTGGTAAGGCAGGCTATTACTTGGGCTTTCCCTCCTGCCACTGTTTCTCTGAACTCCTTTGTGGGTGTTCGGACAAACTTTTATCATATGATCTACACTGACAGGTGAACCTACTGTTATTTGGTTCTCTGGTGCTGCTAAAAACTAAACGTTTTGTAGAATGCCTGGAACACTGAAGCCAACCTAATTTGCTTTAGCGACCTAAAAGTGGTTTCACAATCTATTCAGGAACTCGGCATGGATCCAAGAAATTCTGTTCTTGTCTCCCAGACAAAATGTAAGAGATTAGTCCATGTGATGACTTCCACTAATAAATTTAACAAACAGAAAATATTTGCAGTCTTCCAGAATAGCATACTTTTCACTCTTGGCTGCTCTTTGTGTACTTCATCTAATGCAAACAGTGATCTTGCTTAATACCTTTAAAATTAGATGCATTTATCAAGAATGATCTGTGTGAAATTCAGCCAAAATATTTACAGATGGACAGTAAGAATCTATTTTAGCCTATTAACTTGTATCCATTTATTATACTTCATTGCAATTACCTCTTCCCCAATGTCAGCTATGCATGCACATACGTATAATGAACAGTAAGCACATTTATCTTGCATTTTAATCAGATGTGAGCTTCATGGCTGGCTCATGTTTTCTGTCATTTAGTCAGTCAAGTCACCACAGTAATGATGCTCATCAACCTGTAAAATACCTGAAGATTTACTGAGGAAAACCCCTGTGAACAGTTTAAAATACTATTCTGTTGATGATTGCTTAGTCTCGGTTTAAAAAGGTACACATTCTACTAGACTACTATTTTTAAATTATGACAGCATTTGAACACCAAAAGGAAACATGAGCCCAAAGTACCTTTGGTACTTCTGAAAACCTCTTCTTACCTCTATTTCTTTGCTTTTGCAAAAACGCTTCATTGCCTTATGCTGTTGAATATTCCTTCCTAACATGTTGTACAGAATTAACATCAAATGGTAAGAAATGCCTCCCATATATGGTAGAGTATTGAAAACCAAAGCTCTTCAAAACATTTTCTCTGTAGACAAAAATATCTTCCACAGGGTTTGCTGAGACAGACTGCCAAGTCTGCAGCCACAGGGAACACAGGATTAGAGGAACCCAGTCTAAGCAGTAGATTTACTTTTTCTTTTTAAAGCTGCATATACACTAGCTTTGCCACTCCAGTAGTTACTGGCATCAGAGTGCTCATTTATCTGCAGGAGTCATTAATAAAATGCATATCTTTAAAAAAAAATAGTGGCAAATCAATAGTATCTGATAACCTCCAACTGCATCACGCACAAATTCCTGTTATGAAGTAGTGAAATAAAAAAAAACCAAACCAAAACTGTAGCACTCATGTTCAAAAACAGCATAGTGTAAAAAGAAAAAAAAAAAGAAAAAGAGAAACAACTAGACCAGAATACCATGCAAAACAGCTTCGACCTGAGTCACTCTCTTCCTTAATAAAGTGATGCTGTAGATAGGTGCAAAGATAGGTGCAAGATGTTCACTTTTGTACCTATTCACAGGTTATTTTATTTTATTTTTTTGTTACAGTCAGGAAACAATCTACATCAACAGAACTGATAGGAAATACCACATTTTTTGTCTACATGTTCTTTTAGTGCAGCTGGTAACATGCACATTAATATCAAGCATACATAAAATGAAAAATATTTTCACTGTGTAAGTGCAGAGCAGACTAAAGTTCAGCTTACAGTCATGATATCCTTAAGTAACTGGAAAGGATTTCAGGTGTGTTCAGGTCCTTAAAGTCTGTTTTCAAGGCTCCTGTGTGATCAGAAGACTCCCAATCCTCAACAGAAGACATTCAGCCACAGATTATTTAAATCTTATGTCTATCTCTAGCCACCCTAGTTAGCATTTGAAAAATAATTAAGAACAACCACAACTTTGGGGCAAAAATGCACAAACTCAACCGAGAAAATTATTTTCTCTGTCTTATTATACTTACAAATGTCATGGTTTCAAGTAAGCCAATACATTTTAACTTCGTACTAACAGATCTGTTAAAAAAAATGGGTCCTACAGAGTTCCAGTTGTTTGCGACAACAGGAAGCCACGAAGCCTGATTAATTCAGTGATCCATATAACGGCAACCTATACCATGGAAAAGGTAATCCCTTTGATTTAGAGCATGCTGCTGAAATTGAGGCTTCAAAGTAGTTCAGGTCCTCCAGTCCCACTTATCATGTCAGCTGTCAAGGTGCAGCACTATCGTCAATGATAAAACCACTGGTCTGGAAAGGATGGATATGTCTATCCTTGCACCACAGTTAATCTGCAAACCAGACAGTTCACCTATGGACCCTAAAGAGCTGACTGCAACTGAAAATTTACACCTGACATGAGTGAGGTGAGGATTTCAGCAGTCTGCTTTCAAGAGGCCTATTCCCATTTTCAGCACAAACAGCAGCATTATCTATTGACTTCAATAATTCAGGAGCAAATATTAGTATGCTGTCATAGATCATGAAGATAACTTCCTATAGAGTACTTAATTTGGTCAATACATCTGTCACATCAACTTGAGAGGAAATACAAACCTCTGTAAGTACAAAATAGTTATCCTCACCTGATATACAAGTGTAGCTAATAATAAGGGCAGTGTTTATATGTCCCTTAATTAAGTGACAGTACAGAATGAAAATAAAGCATTTTTAAAGCATGTGCATTTTCTTAGGAAAATGTGATGCTTTAACACCATTTTTTCATAGATGCTATGTCCTTATGTATTTTCACATAAAACATAAACACACGAAACTGATATTAACTTAAGCACAGAAGGCTAAACATGCATTTATATTTCACGTATCCATATATATCCATACATAGAAAAACATGTATGTAAATTTTATATATGGAATACAAATGCACATAAGCAGGCACACTATTAAAATATCCTGCTTAATTTGAGTACAGCAACAACTAAAATACAATTTGTTCACGAAAATTTGAATAAATTTGGGATTCTCTGCTCACAAAACAACACGTAAAAGAAAAATCTCACAGATGCAGCATACCTGTGTTCATTTTGACACTGGAGGTTTTGCTATAAAAGTCTTCAGATTTCCTGCGGGAAATAAAACGATCTATTAATTTGCACAAGATAGGAATGTGTGGTACAAAATGGCAGCAAGGCTTTTGGAGGCGTGGAGAGAGAACCACTGTGATACAAATGGCAGTCCTATTTTAACACAGCTTTAATTAAATTGGTACTGCTTGTCCTTCCAAAGTTAAAGATGAGCTGTCACTTCCATTATAAGCCACTCTATTTTCAACTGTTTAGTATCTCTGTTGTAAACACATGCTCTGAGATAAAAAACTGGTGATTAACTTTCGGTCTTGAAATTATAAAATAAAAATTATTCCCATACAGGAACGTGGAAATATTTTTAAAAGCTGCTTATAAGGTTTATTCACTCCTTTGTGCAAACAGAAAAATGTAAAGAGTAGGTCTCTACAAGTATTTTCTAAGCAGCCAAAGTTAGCAGGTCTTTTTCAATGGTTTATAAGTAGATGTTGTTTTCATCCAGTGATTTAATATGTCTCTAGAGACAACACTGACATTCGTAATGTTACTAGCTGTATTTCTATGCACAAAATCAGGGCATGTGTCTTGGCATCCACAGGAATCCATATCAAAACTCCCAATGGAATCAAGAGGTAGTGAATCAAGTCACTATACATCAACACGTTTTTTAATGGTTTGCACTGAAACAATGTAAAGTGCACACAAAGGTTGAATTTATTTAGATATCCTAACTCTATACAGTACTTACAAACAAACAAATAGTAAAACACTACAGACAAAACTACAACTGTAGAAAAAGCACAACATCCTACATTAAGTGCCGACTTTAACCTATGGATGTCACAGGATAAACTAGACATTATTTTCTATCTACTACTGGTTTATGGCATAGCTTTATTTTAGGATTAGGAGCTTTAATACCTCTTCTATTCAGGTTCTTTTAGAGAGAAAAAGATAGATACAGAAAATGTTTCCAATGGCATTCTGTATACTGGCCAGTCTCAGCTGTATCGTTACATATACACTGCCCACTATAATTTACTTCAGTAAGTGGGCAGACATGCTGGAGACCAAAATACTGAAGGCTAAAAAAAGTCATTCTCCCTCTGCACTATTCCCACATCAGGCCCAGAATAAAACAAAGGGAAAAATCAGAATTTGTAATGTAATACAGCTTCAAAAAATAAATTAAAAATACAAACTGCCTGGCTATGTTGAAGTAAGTCAGAAGGTATGCACGAGGGACTGTTTTCATAATGGGAGACTCAAGGTACTAATTAATACAAGTAAACAAAATACCAAAACAGAATTCCAGTTAAACTCTACAAGAAGTCTGAATAACTGTACCTCTCAGGTAACACGTATATTGCTGTATTCTCTTGTATTTTTAACAAATCAGACATTATGCTGCTTGAAAAACTTAGTGTTCTTCAGAAACTATCTGAATTCTGCTGCTATTATGCAGTCAGTTTTGTGGAAAAAAAAAAAAAAGCATGTTAAACTTCTTGAGAACTATGGAAATAGACAATTGGCAATGAATAAAGTGTTATTAAATTATTTTTATGCTGCAGCTATCAGCAAACTACCTCTGAGAGTTTCCAAAAGATCTCTTAAAAATTAAGGCAAATTCTATTTTATTTTTTGATAAATGGTTTTTAACTGAAATTCTGGATTTTTTTCATAGCCACAGAATATTCTTACAGCCTCAAATTCCCACAGTGTTTTCAGTCTTCTAGAAGAGACACCATTTTCAAGACTTCTTTTAGCTTGAAACTGAATCACTGATGGTACCACAAGCTACAAATTGCAACATGGTATTTATTTTCAGATCCAACAAGTACAGGACTCTTGGAACATTGCAAAGCCAAAATGATTTCCAGCAGGTGGCTTCGACATATTTACCTAAAGCACACTTAACTCTTACTCAAGTTTTAACAGACAAAACTCAGTTTTAGCACCACAGCTTTGTCCTCCTAAGAGTTTCCCTCTGTACAGCTTAGGCTGCATTGCTGACACTCAATGAGGAACTGCATACAAAGACTAACATTCCCACATTAATCTAATTTTGCTGAAGAACAAATTAGTCTTGCACACCTGAAAAGTACGCATGTAAATAAGGCAACCCAAACTGCACTCATACCAACAGCAGGCCTTGTATTTAATATTAAAATTATTTTGAATTCCTTGCTTCTAAAGAGCCAAAGTACCATTCAAATACGCAATGATACCAGCAGTAGGAGCCAAAGGAATGCAATGAAATTAACAGCCATATGCCTGAAATTATTTTATTCAGCATTGTTTCAATCAGTCTTTAAGATCCTTACTTCAAGAAGGGGGAGAGGGGGTGGGAGCAAAGGGCCTTCTGAAAATTGTTCTTTGTGAATGGGTTTGCTGTATAGACACCTGACAGAGGTGAGATGAGCATTCCACTGGAAGCATCAGACACTTCACTGACAAAATGGATGCCCGATGATCGGCTAAGATCAGCTCTCAGACAGCTAACGCTGCGACGGAATGCCCATAATGACTGTGCAGACACAAAGCACTACTGAAGTGCATGAGTTTTCAAAATCAGAGACTGCTATTCAGTCACATACATCAGGCAATTTTTCTACTCAGCTCACTCCTGATCTTACATGCTGAGGTAAAAGAACACTGAGTTTAACCACAGTCGCATTAGGTTACCATCGCTACATTTGGTTTTGCTAAATACATAATATATATCCCTGTGCTATTTCTTGATAACACTACAATGATTACCTCAGCTCAGCAATACTTTGCATAACAAGAGAATACTGAAAAGACTCATGGGAATCTCACTGACACCTGGTCTATTTTCTCCAAGAGACCCTGATATCTACTTGTAGTCGCTGCTTCTCTTCCTCTAAGTTCTGCAGTGTGGGGTGCTGCAGGAAAGCATTCTGTCACCCCTTCTGTTCCACATTCAGATAGAGCTATAAAAAGGGTTAGTGAGAAGTCAAGGAAGGTTTCCCCACCCTCAGTTTATTCATGAATCAAGATGCATGTCTTTATTGTTAGGGTTTTAATTCCCTTCTTGATCAGATGTTAGAGCACCTACAGCCACTAATGCAGGATCTCTAACACCCAATAAATCAACAACTAAGTAAATGTGAGAAAGTGCTTTGTGAATCAAAGCCTAAATGAGGAGTAACATGCTATTAACCTGCTTGCACCTCATTCAAATAATTGTTAATCATTGGTGATAACCACAGCCCAGAGCTACCTAAGGATAGAGGGCCATCAGAAGTTAGAATATTCTTTCCATGTAAAATTTTGGAAAGAACTGGGAAGTAAAGAAAAGGAGACTGGAGGTTTTTTTCTTTCTTTTTTTTTCTTTTTTTTTTTTCAAGGACGTGTAGAAACTCCAAAAATTATACTTAAAACTTTATTAATAACTTAACATATTATGAAATCTTAAATGCCACATCACAAAGGCATCCAAGCTCATGAATAATTTTTGGGGTCATTCTCCCTCCAGCTCTGTAGCCATGAAGTCTAGATCCCTTTGAAATCCCAGGCTTGCTAGCTATGTAACAACAGGGGGCACAGTCTAGAATGCTAGTTGCCTCCTTGCTTACATAGGTTTTGAAAGATTCTTAAAGAACAAGGTGGTAAGTTACCTTGTCTGGTTTGTTTTGAATCAGAGTATAAAAGCAGGCTGACAAAGGACTGAAACATCTCTTATGAGGAAAGGCTGAGGGAGCTGGGCTTGTTCAGTCTTGAGAAGAGATGACTCAGAGAGGACCTCATCAATGTCTGTAAGTATCTGAAGAGAGGGCATCAAGAGGATGGATCCAGGCTCTTCTTGGTGGTGCCAAGCAATAGAACAAGAGGCAATGGGCAGAAACTGATGCACAGGAAGTTCCACTGAATATGAGGAAGAACTTCTTCACCATGCAGGTGACCGTGCACTGGAAGAGACTGCCCAGAGAGGTCGTGGAGTCTCCCTCACTGGAGATATTCAAGAATGATATGGACACAATCCTGTGCAATCTGCTCTAGGACAACTCTGCTTGAGCAGGGAGGTTGGACCAGATGACCCACCGTGGTCCCTTCCAACCTTACCCATTCTGTGATTCTAAGTTACCTGTTATTTACTCCTTGCCATTTCACACAAGATATTATAAAAAGCAGGTTTAAGATGTATTTTTGATACAGGATTTATATTAATCCTAAAATTAATTCTAGTATGTGCTCTTTATAGCTACCATCTTTTGTAATGAATTCTACTCCAAGGACCTTTGGTGAGAGGAGCAATTGGCTTATAACACAGAGTGCAGATGGATCAACAGCAGGATAGATGTGTGTGTCTGGCTGGAAAATGATAGATTTTCATTGTCTTAGGTAGAGAGCAATGCCCAGATATTTGGAGAAGGCAGAAGCTTTCCAGACTTTTGTGAGAAGGAGTGTCAGACTTTCATCAATGTTGTTTGCCAGTTTCACAGGTTGACCTAGAGAGAGTAATCTGAGAAAATATCTGCAAAGTTAAGAGGCCAAATCAGTCAGTGATTATTCAGTTTAAACGTTGCAGGTGATCTACAAACACATATTTGTTAGCAGGCAGGATTCTATATCCAAATATGCATGTGGCAGTAAATTATTTTACCCCACATCATTAAGACTCTATACAGCACTCCTGCTCTTACCTCTGCAACAGATACTTCATATGCCAACTCATACATTCAGTGAAGCAGGTAAAAAAAATTATGAGCATTAGTTCTGAAAGGACAGTGAAGCTGATTATTTTATTTCTCTCAATTTTTAAAAGCAATTTTTTTCAGCTGTTTACTGTTAGCAGGATTACTAGGGCAATGAGAATGCAATAAGAACTTGAAAAACACCACAATGTTTAGGCTGTGGCAACAAGAACTCACACAAAAAAACAACTGTCTTGAAGCTGCCTTGGGAACAGATCTCTCTCCTGCCAGCCCCTAAGCAGAAGGAAGGTTTATATGCCAATATATTCTTTCTATGAAAAAATGTTTGATGGAGCATAGGTAGACAGTGTCTATAATGAA